CCACCACGGCGGCCTTCAGAACCTCTACAGCCACCATCACGTCTGCTCCCACCATGGCCACCACCAGCTCTGCATCCACCACGATGCCCTTCAACACCTCTACACCCACCATGGCCACCAGAACCTCTGAACCCTCCACAGACACCATCACATCTGCTTCCACCACAGCCACCACCACCACTTCTGCTCCCATCGTGGCCACCAGCACCTCTGCACCCACCACGGTGGCCTTCAGAACCTCTACAGCCACCACGGGCACCATCACATCTGCTCCCACCACGATGCCCTTCAACACCTCTACAACTGGCAGCAGCACCTCTGCACCCACCACGGCCGCCACCACATCTCCTCCCACCACAGCCACCACCATCTTTGCATCCACCACGACGCCCTTCAACACCTCTGCACCCACCATGGCCACCAGCACCTCTACATCTACCGTGATGACGTCGAACTCCTCTGCGCTCACCACGACAGCCACCAGGATGTCTGCGCTCTCCACCAACTCATCTTCCACCACCGTCTCCACCACCACAGCAACCATCTCCACCAACACGACCAGTTCTACTGCCGACCACCCATCCTCCACCATACCCACCACAACTTCACCTCCCACCACCACAACTTCACCTCCCACCACCAATACGACCACTTACACTGTCGACCACCCCAACTCCACCCCCCCCCACCAATACGACCCCTTCCACTGTCGACCACCCATCCTCCACCATATCCACCACGATTTCACCTCCCACCACCAACACGACCACTTCTACTGCCGACCACTCTTCATCCATCGTATCCACCACGACTTCATCTCCCACCACCACGACTTCACCTCCCACCACCAACACGACCACTTCTACTGCCGACCACCCTTCATCCATCGTATCCACCACGAGGTCACCTCCCACCACCACCCCAGGTACGTGTCAACCCACCTTCTGCTCCAGGCACGATGACCAGATTCCTCCTTCTTCTTCACCATTGGCTTGTTGGTTGTTTTTTTTTTTCCAGGGATCTGCAATAATGGACGATGACCAGATTTCTCCTCCTTCTTCACCGTTGGCTTGTTGGTTGTTTTTTTTTTTTCCAGGGATCTGCAATAATGGAGGAACTTGGGTGGACGACCATTGCAAGTGCCCCATGGGTTTCGTGGGTGACATGTGTGATGATGTCAGTACCACCATCAAAACAAACGCTAGTAGGAAATTCTTCTTGTTGGGGTTCGTTCGGTGGAGGACAAAACCTGGTGGGGAAGGAACAACAGTGAGGGGTTCTCCGGGGTGGGGGAAAAGCTGAACCAAAAGTGACCGTAGCACAAGCCACGTTCTTCCTAACAAGGGCAGAGTCCCACAGCACCCAAAAACGTGGGCAGAGGTGACGATTACAGCGTGTGCTGACCACCCTGGGTGAGGCAGGACCAAGATCTGCATGGGGGGACACCAAATAGGAAGAGCAGGGCCAACAACACAGGTCCAAGCTAGGACCAAAAGCTGGGGTCAGAGATGGTTCCTGAGCTTGATCACCCTCAACAGAACTCAAACAAGTTTTTGGTGTGCTGGGCTGAGCTTAAATGCAGCTCCTGGGCCAATGAGGGGGTGGAGGTCGCAGGTGAGGGCAGGGCAATTAGGGTTCGTTAATGGCCTAAAGATTTCAAGTGTGTGATGCCCAGCAATAGCGTTGAGGAGTTAGTGGTGGGGTCAACACTGGGTCCAGAGGAGCTGCTGGTGCCTGGATAAGCTCCTGGCTGCTTGCGGTGGTTGGAGGAAGCTTCTCTTGGCTCCTTTGCAATGAAACCCCAAAGCCATGGGGGTTAAATGGAGATATTGGAGCCCCTCCTGCTAGGAAGGGGCTGTCCGGCCCTGTCTTCTTCATCTCTCGGTCTTGACTTGTGTTCTTCTCTTCTCCCAAAAGAGACAAACGGGACGGTGGAGGTGAAGCTGCGGGTTCACCGATGACCTCTAAAACGCCAACTCATCCGTCTACTCGGAGTTTGTCAAGAACTTTGCGGAGCAGGTAAAGGGAGGTGGGGAAGGGCCTTGAAGGGTCGTGGTGTGCCTGGTTGTGCATCCGAATGCATCCCATGGGTGCTGCAAGTGCCGAGGTTTACCCTCCAGGGTCTTCTCAGATTGTATTTGGGGTGGGACACCTAAGCTGAGGGAGATCCAGGAGGAAAGGGAAGGGAATGGGGGCCTGACGTTCCTCCTGGAGACCTCTTCTCTTCCAGATGAACGTGGTCTATGGCAATGTTTGGGGTTACGAGGGCATCCAGGTCCTGCGTTTGACGTGAGTACCGGGCTGCCGGTCAACGGGGAGAGGTTATTGGGATGCACCAGCTGGTCCCGCTCCCTGGGAATTGGGGTAATCCCTTGGGAAAAGGGCATTCGCAATGGGATGGTGGCTTCTCCCACCAGGCCCGGCAGCGTGGTGGTGGATCACATTGTCATCATCTCCTTGCTGGTGACTGCCCAAACCCAGGAGAAGCTCCACAACATCACGGTGGAGCTGCGGGAAGAGATTCGGGCGGCGGCGGCACGCAGAACTGCACAAATAGTACCCATGGTCCTCCCGGCAAGGGGATGGGGAGGAGTTGGGCAACCCACGGGGTAGGAGACAGCATCCCACCCACCCGAAACCTCACAGCCACCCCTGGGAGTGGACCGTGGGTCGTGTCCTCCGTGCTACCTCTTTTACAGACGAGTTGTGCTTCAACGCCACGGACGTGGTCATCAGCGACACTTCGCTCAACTTCGATGAAAAAGGTCAACGGATGGGGCTGCCCCACCGCCGGGGGCAGGGGTGGGGGGATGCAGACAGACTTGGGGTGGTGAGGATCCCCCAAAACCAACCTCTCATCCCTCTCCAGCCTACTGCCGGCGGGAAGTGCCGAAGGACTACCGGGAATATCATTTTCCCAACCTGACGGGCTCTGGTTTCTATTG